TAATTAAAAAATAATTTTAAGTTTTAAATTAAAAATATGTTTTAGAGAGATTTGTGTATAGGGCACATGCACTTGCTGGAGAGACAGAAAGTAAGAAATCATCCCCCAGGGAGTATGGCCATGCTGCAATCCCTTCTCTTCCATTCTCCTCTCAGAATTTTGGGTCCGCAAGCACATGCGTCTAGTGTAAGTTTTAAGCCACAGGATCAAGGACTCGAACCACAGTCAACTACATGGGAGTCCAGTGACATAACCATTATACCATCTGCTGGTCCTAAGTTTTTTTTTAATAATCATAGAGCACCTGTACTTACTGAAGAGAGACAGAAAAAGAAGTAAACTGAAAAATCACCTCCTAGAGTGGATGGCCATGCTGCAATACCTTCTCCATTCTCCTCTCAGGATTCTGGGGATGGACGCACACATGACTTGCATGTTTTTCAAGCCAGTGGGTCCAGGACTCAAACCAGAGTGTTGGGCATGTGAGATCCAGAGCCTTAACCACCACTCCATGAGCTGTCCCTTATTTATTTATTTATTTATTTTTGGGGGGAGAGGTTTTCACTATAGGGCATGTGTGCTTGCCAGACAGACAGAGAGAGACAGAGAGACAGAAAGTGAGAAATCACCCCCCAGTGGGGATGGCCACACCGCAGTCCCTTCTTCTCCATTCTCCTCTCGGGATCTTGAGCATGCACGCACACGCGCCCAGCGTGAGTTTCAAGCCACCGGGTCTGGGACACAAACCGCAGTCGACTATGTGGGAGTCCAGCGACATAGCCATTACGCTAACTGCTGGTCCCAAGCTGGCCCTTATTTTTAAGAAGTTATAAATGCAAAGAATCTAAATGCAGTAGTCCCCCTTTCCATGGTTTTATCTTCTACCATTTCAGCTACCTGCAATCCACTGTAGTCCAAAAGCATGTGACTTAGGGGGCATGGCGGTGCTCACCTATGGCAAAAAATAGGCGACTTTGGTAATAATGAGAGAGAGAGGCCACATTTATATTAATTCTAGTACAGAGTATTGTCAAAATTGTTCTTTTTTAAAAGTTTATTCATTTCTGGTACCAGCACTAGGCATAATGATTATGTTGCTGGACCACCACATAGTCAACTGAGGTTCAAGACTCAGACCCAGAGACTTAAAATTCATGGCAGGTACATGTGCGTGCATGGCCAAAACCCTGGGAGAAGAATGGAGAAGAAGGGGTTATGGCATGGCCATTCCCCCAGGGGGTGATTTCTTGCTTTCTGCCTCTCTGTCTCTCTAGCAAACACATGAGCACTGTAACAAAAATCTCTCAAATAAATAAATAAATGTGTTTATTCATTTCTTTCTTGCACTAGTCAGAAAGAGAGAAATTTACTCCAACAGGGTCTTCAAGGTGTAGTGCACTTGAGCTTCGCCCAGGCCCAGATAATGAGCATGTGCACATTTGGCAGGTGCCAGAAAATCTCTGAATGCGAACTAGAGACATTTCCATGTGCCTCAGCCCCATAAAGCATTATGTACTTCATTCCAAATCCTAATTAATCTGTTTTATTAATGGTTATAATGCAGTCATTGATTACTGTACCTATTTTTTATATTTTAAGGATTTTTTTCTGTAACTTTATTTATTTATTTATTTATTTTAATTTGACCAGAGAGGGACAGAGTGAGAGAGTAAGAGAGAGAGGGAAAATGAGAAAGCAAGCCACCAGGCTTTGGACTCGAACCACAATAAACCATGTGGTAGTCCAGCACCCTTAACCACCATGCTACACACTGGCCCACCATACCTAACTTACAAGTTAAAACTTTATCATAGGTATGTATGTATAGCAAAAAGAAAGAGATACAAAGGAATCAGTACTATTCAGTTTCAGGATCCTCCAAGAGCCCTAGAAAGTTATCCTCTGCAGATAAGAGGATACTACTGTAGTTTTTAGTTTATTTTCTTAATATAGAATTAGGCAGATTACATTGTTATTTCAATAATTATTGCAAAAACTTTAAATGGGTTAAACAGAATTGATTGTACAACCCATCACATTTCAAGGACACTGGCAAGACTATGGCAATAGGGCTGAATGGTATTAATCCATCCCTTTCATCTCTTTTATTACTTTTACTTAGGGTTTATAGTGGGAAATAGTTCACAAACATTATGTTTCTGCTGTTAAGGTTTATATCCACATTTTGAGACATAATTTTTTTATGATGCCTTTGCATATTATATCACAGGCTTCTTTAGGACAGACAAATAATAGCTTGTCCCTTTTTGCTCACAAAAAGAGCATCTTTACAAGAAAACCCATCTTCAGCAAATTCTGTTGATGTGGCAGCTTCAGAATCTTTGAAAAACTATTGGTATAGTGCCTTTAATAAAAAGGCATGCTTCCATCTCTCACTTAAGCTAGCAGGGCGTGTGCTGATTACTGATAAAATTGGTATAGGATATTGTATCAGTTCCTGCTACTACCTCAAAAAGGAAAGAGTAATCTTACCTTTGGTAATCAAATTCTCTCACTTATTTTGGCATATGTTACTTTTAGAGATTTTTCCACTGGGATGGAGTAGTGAATGTAATAATTTGAATAAGGTTCAAATGCTAATGTTTGTGAGTATATATTGATAGCTTGGATATGTGTTAAGGATGCAATGGATTGTTGAAGAGAAGGGTAAGAAAGAACATGCCCATCCATGCCCTTCTTCCCAGAAGTCCTCCCTGATTTTGAAAAATAGGCTATTCTTGCCTGTCTTGCCTATTAAATATTGCCTATTAGAGTATTCGCAATAACCTATAGTAACTTCTTTAAAAAATTAGTAAAGTGTACATGCACTTGCCACAGAGAGACGGAGATGGAGGGAAAGTCAGAAAGCACGCTTCATGGAGGATGTCACTTGACAATTCCTTCTCTTTCATTTTTACTTTTGGGATTTTGGGAATGCATGCACATGCACCCAATGTGGTTTTCAAGCCTCTGGATCTGGGATTTGAATCTTGCAGTCAGCCATATGGAATCCAGCTTCCTTAACCACCATGCCAGTGGTTAGCCCATATTTTCTATTTTTGTTATGTTTTTTTTTTTCCCCATTGTTTCCCATTAGACTATAAACTCCAGGAGTGCAAGTTTTATATCTACCATAATAACCCTGCCCATACCCTTGCCAGTGGCTAGCCCATATTTGCTATTTTTGTTATGGGTTTTTTTTCCCCATTGTTTCCCATTAGACTATAAACTCCAGGAGTGCAAGTTTTATATCTACCATAATAACCCTGCCCATACCCTGAACATCATAGGTGCCTAATCCCCTACCTCATAGTAGGTACTATGTAGGTACAATTTATTAATTGTCTACTAATCAGTGTTCTGAGAATTCATTATTTTAGGAGATATACATCATACGAAAGAATCTTGATGTAAAAATCAAAATGTTAGTTTACTAGTCAATTTATTCATTTCAATGCATGGTCTCTTTAAAAGAAATGTATGGGGACCCAGCAGGTGGCATAATGTTTTTTTCACTGGACTCCCATGTAGTCAACCACAGTTTGAGTCTCAGACCTAGCAACTTAAAACTAAAGCCAGGAACCAACAGATGGCAAAATGTTTACGTCACTGGACTCCCACGTGACTGACCATGGTGCAAGTCCCAGACTCAGAGGCTTGAAACTCACACCAAGTACATGTGCATGTGTGCCCAAAATCCCAAGAGGAGAATGGAGGAGAAGGGATTGCAGTATGGCCATCTCCCCGGGGAGTGATTTCTTGCTTTCTGTCTTTCTGTCTGTCTGGCAAGTACATACACTCCACAGCAAAAATCTCTCTGAAAGAAAAAACAATAATAAAATCTCGTATTGAAAGTGTGTGTGTGGATACCCAACAACTCAAGAGGAGAATGGAGGACATGGGATTGCAACATGGCCATCCCCTTGAGTGATTTCTTGCTTTCTGCCTCTCTGTCTCTCATGTGCTCTATAGAAAAATTTCTCTCAAGAAAAAAGAATATCAGGGTAGCATATAAAATATATTTTCTCCCTAGTAGTTAATATCAGTTAAGAATTGTGTGCTATTCATAACAAGAGTCGCTTTATGTATTATCTCACAAAACCTTCTCAACACCATGTGAAATCATTACTAACTTTATCTTTATTCTACAATGGAAGGAACTATGGCTTAGAAAGGATTAGTAAAGTCTTAAGGTCTCACAGCTAATGGGTAGGCAGTATACATTTGAACTCTGCTATTTCTTACTTCCAGAACTCAGGCTTTAAGTCAATCAGTATTTGGATTGACAACTTAATTGGAAGGAAGACTCAGAGTAATTAAAAAATTTCATGAGGACACACAGGTGGTAAATCACAGAATGTGATATTAACTCAAATGTGCACAACTCCAAGGCCCATACAACCTTTAATCCAGGCCCTGGTCTCCTTGCCTTTAATAATAAATGCATTTTTCACAGATGCAATAAAACTGTGGGTCAATTACCATCCTAATCATGCTGAATAGATCATGGCCTTCAACTCTCCCTCCTGACAATTTCTTAAGAAAGGACTGTTATATTTATTTTTACTTTTAGTTAAATCAGAGTAAATAATTCTTGAGTAAGACAGTATTTGATATTTCATTTACTGTTTTATTATTCTTACATTTGCTTTGATTCTACCTTCTATTAATGATACCTAAGAATTGTGTGTGTGTGTGTGTGTGTGTGTGTGTGTGTGTACACACACAAATGAGGAAGAAATAAGAATGAGAGGTATGATTTTAGAATGCCTATGGAAGGAATTCAGTATCCTCTTCTTACACTTACGATATTCTGTGAAGGTAAATCAAGCATGGAAAATGTATCACATGCTTAAAAATAAGGAGGAATTGGGCAATATGTGATGAATAATTTGGGCATTGGTTGAGTATGATATTAAGTCTTGCTTGAATGGGAAGTGTTGACCACATTACAGATTCTGTTACGAGATGTGTTGTTGATGCCTCTTTTTGGATCCTAGAGTCTCAAGTTCCTGATCAGCCAAGTTCTCTTCATGTGAGACCCCAGACCAACTGCATCATCATGAGCTGGACTCCTCCCCTGAACCCAAACATTGTGGTACGAGGTTACATTATCGGTTATGGTGTTGGGAGCCCTTATGCTGAGACAGTGCGTGTGGACAGTAAGCAGCGATATTACTCCATAGAGAGATTGGGTAAGTAGCTATGATTTTTAGTAAGCAAAATAAATTATTAATTTTGAATTATTTTCTTTCTTAGAAAATTGCTCTTTGGAATTGTGATTTTAGTTTGTAGTATATATTAACTCTTGAAACAGCTTTGCACATGCCCATAGTAAGTCGTCTCTGGACTTTGGATTTGGAAAATTGGATCTAGAGATGTCCACAGTGATGAGTGCTGTGGCGTGTGCCTTGCTTTCATGTCACAGAAAGTACATTGGATTATTTTTGTTTGTCCAGTGGTCAATGGGAACTTATTAAAAGAAAGTCCATGGGACCAGCAGTTGGTGTAATGGCTGTGTTGCTGGACTCTCATGTAGTAGACTGTGGTTCAAATCCTGGACCCGGTGGATTAAACTCATGCCGGGTGCAGCATATGCATGCGTACTCAAGATCCCGAGAGGAGCATGGAGGAGAAGGGGTTGCGGCATGGACATCCCCCTTGGGGGGTGATTTCTCGCTTCCTGTCTCTCTGTCTCTCTCTGTCTTTCTGGTGAACACACACGCCCTATAGCAAAACCTCACAAAGAAAAGAAAAAAAAAAGGCAGTCCACATAGTTTAAGCTTTATTGTTCTCACTAGAAAGATGTTCTGTTGGTTTTTCCCTAAAATTAAATTATCTAGTTATAGTACCTTCTTTCCCCAAACCATTCATAGGTAAGGCTTTGGAGCTATAGCATTATGACTGTAAGTTAGAAGGATGGAAAAGGAATTTTCAGTCAAATCAGTAAATTGGGCTTATCAAATTTCCTCCTACATGTATGTCTGCTCCCTCCAGAACCCAAGTTCTCTTCCTGTACTCAACCATTTTTTAACTGAATAATTATATTTCTGAATTCATTGAATATTTGTTTACTCAGAAAGGTCTAATATGTGTAAAAAATTAATATTTACATAATATCTGATTGTCTATAGTGTCATATGAGACCATATAATGATAGATAAAAATAAATATATGCAATAAGAGAAGACTTCAAAAGAAAATGAAAAAATGGAATCAAAGTACAGGTTTATTTTGGTGCAAAATCTTTTTGAAATCTTTGCATAGTTTTCTCAAAATGCATATTTCCCATGAACTTTTTGAAGACTCGCCTCATGTCAGGATACCAATAAATTAAGTAATTCTCATTTGAAAAAAGTTGACTCTTAACTGTTGATTTATTACAGTATTATTTGCAGTGAAGTACAATAACCCCCTGGAAATGCACCTGCTTAGGGGTGAGGATGAGGGTGTAGCTTATCTGCAATTTCTTTACAAACAGAACATTTGTGATAAGAAGCTTGATTTGAATTTGAATAACTAAAATGTGATAGCACAGAAAGATTTTCTCAGTGTAAAAGAAAAATTGCACTGACCCACTCTTTATTTTTTTGACCCATTCTTTCTGTAATTGCTTCAAACACTAGTAAAAGAAGCACTTTCTCAAAATCTCCACAATCTTACCTAGATTGTCATTTATAAACAGTATTTAGACCAGCTAGTAGTGTTGTGGTTAAAATGGCTGAATTCTAGGGCCTTCAGGTGGCATGGTGGTTAAGGTGCCAGACCAGCTAGTAGTGTTGTGGTTAAAATGGTTGAATTCTAGGGCCTGCAGGTGGTGTAGTGGTTAAGGTGCTGGACTCCCACATGGCTAGGTGCAGTTCGAGTCCTGAACCTGGCACTTACTTATCACTTTCCTTCTCTCTTTCTGTCTCTCTCTCTCTCTCTTTTTTCCTCTTTCTCTCTCTGTTTCTCTCTGATAAAATTAAAACATAGTAATAATAATAAGGGACAAGCAGATGGCATAATGGTTATATCTCTGGACTCCCACATAGTTGACCATGATTTGATTCCTGGACCCAGTGGCTTCAAACTCATGCTAGGCATGTGTGCGTGCATGCCTAAAATACCTAGAGGAGAATGAAGGAGAAGGGATTGTGGTATGGCTATCCTCCCAGGAGGGTGATTTCTTGTTTTCTGTCTCTCTGTCTATCTGGCAAGTGCATGTGTCCTATAGCAAAAATCTCTCTTAAAAAAAGAGTAATAATAATGAGAAATAAAATAAAATAAATAATAAATACTTAAATAAAGAAAGGAAGAAAGAAAGATGGCCAAATTCTATCTGGCCAACGCTACAGATCAAGACCCAGACTCCAAGGCTTAAAAACTATGCTGGGCACATGGGTGTGCAAGCCTAAAATTCTGAGTGAAGAATGAAAGAGAAGGAATTGTGATATGGCCATTCCCCCTAGGGAGTACTTTGCTACTTTCCATTTCTCCCTCTCTCTCTCTTTCTCTCTCTCTCTCTCTGGCAAACACACATGCCCTATAACAAATAGGAAGTAAAAAAAGGAGGAAAGGAAGAAAAACCTGTTGTCTAAGTCAGTTCCAAAATGTAAAGACAATCACTAAACTCTCATTTTATGGCCATCAGGCCTATGTTAGGGGACTTTCACTTCTCCATTTTTCAGTATACACCGTCACTGACAGTTCATTTGATGCCACCCAGGAGACAAGTGAGAGAATGTAGCCCTGGTAGTGTGCAAGCTCCCTTGCAGTGAGAACTTGGTGCAAACTCAGCAGTCATAAAGGAAAACAGCATTATTTTAAAAATGAAGATAATGATGCTGTTTATTACAAGCAAACTCCCCAAGAGTTTGGGAGATTAACATTGACGTATCTCCCCAAATACTTAAGAAAAAAAATAATAAAAATCTCTTTGTATGTTGTTTTAAATTGCTAAGACAATGGTTAAAGTTAGAATGAGATACGGACCTGTCTTGATGGATGTTAATCATGAAAATGCACTTTAAAACTTATCTGAAGAGAGAACATATACATATGTGTACATGTACATACGTGTATCTGTCAATTGGAGCATAGTCCTATATTTTAACAAAAACCATGAAATAAAATAATCAGGTTGTTGTTATATGTTTTCATGGTTGTCACATAAACGTGCATCTTTTTCAATATGTATTTTCACTACTTAGCCAATGTATGTGTGAAACATAGCTAAAGCGCTAAATTTTTAAAAGATGAAGAGTGTATTCAACTTGATATTCATTCTCTGCAAATAAACCACTTATTGTTTATTCTATTGAACACTAAAATAGGCACATCAGTTTTTATCATTTCTTTTTTGAAAAAGTATTTATAAATATATATATATTTTTTAATTTTTTGAACTTTTAAAACAAGAATTGTCCAGTCATTATGTATATATACTTATAAATATATTAAATAAAAGGAAATGTTAAGTTTTAAGGACTGTGTGACAGCTAGTCAGCAAAAATAAATTTTTAAAAGTTATAGTCCATTTAAGTATAGGGTCAGCTGTAACTTCAAGTATCATGGTTATAGTATAGACTATAAAGAAAACTATTTCCTTTATAATTGACCATTAAACCTCCTCTTTTCTTCAGTAAGAGACCAGAACTTCTAAACAGCATTTTATCAGGCATAATAATGTACTGTGCAGTCCAATGCTCTACCACTGAGCTATGTCCCTGTGTCTCATTAATGGCACAAAGAGGTGCATATTATCTATTGAAGATATTTTGTAGTTTTATCAACAGTACTAGGGAGAAATGTTAACCTGTTGAAATATCCATTTTTGTAAGACAAATAATAATGTGATTGAATGTATGGAAGAAAATGAAATGAAAACAATAAAAATAAAAAATATTAAAAAAGAAAAAAAATAATGTACTGTGTAGACAGCACACAGTATGACCTGCTTCAGAGCTATAAATACAAGAACATTTTAAACAATATCTAATATTGCCTGATTCAAAACAATCAGCCTGTCTGGTATAGGCATAGAGCTTCAGTCCAATGTTTGTACTATTAGATATTGATAACTAATCAACTGAAATTTTACTCCTTTTATTCTGAAATTACTAGGCTTGATATAGATCCACAAAACTTGAATTAGTAAAATTAATTTGAAATCAAATGATTTTTTTATAAAACTCACTATTTATATACTTATCTAAGTAAACTTATCTGTCTTTATTATCTTTATTGAGGTATTATTTATGTACAATAAACTATTTTAAAATTTCTCTTAATATTTTATAGTTTTTAATGTAAAGGTATTTAATATTTTTGTTAGATTTATTACTGAAGACATGTTTCGAATGTTTTTGTTCAATTTATTACTGAAGACATGTTTTTTGTAACTATTTTAAGTGCAAATATTTTAAAATTTGTCAACTATTTACTGCTGCTAGAGATGAATACAACCGATTTTTAATGTTAATCTTGTAACATGTTTTAAATTTATCTTTTCATTCTATTAGTTTTATAGAGTCTCTAATATTTTCTACTTAAACAAGAATATTATATGTAAATAGGAATAATTTTGGACTTAATTCCTGATCTTCATACCTTTTATTTCTTTCTCTTGTCTTTTTGCAATGGTTAGGATCTTCAGTAAAATATCAAATAAAATCTGAAGATAGACATCATTGTTGTGTTTCTATCTTAACGGGAAGAAATTCAGTCTTTACAATGAAATAGATCACTGGCTATGGGCTCTTTTTATATTTGTAAGATTGAGAAAATTTGATACTATTTATAGCTTTCTGGGAGTTTTTATCATAACTCTTTAGTGAACTTTGTAAAATATTTTTTAGTATCTTGAAGTGATGTTATTATTTTTTCATTTTTTTAAATAGGGTGAATTATATTGTTTGACTTTTAAAGGGTAACAACTTGAATTTTTTTATAAATCCTACATGACAATCCAATATTATTCTTTCTTATATTGTAAATTTGATCTTTAATGTTCATTAAGAAATTATTTGCCTGTATTACAAGATTATATTTGTCTGTAACTATTTAATATGAGTCTTCATCCAGTTCCTTATAATTGAGTTTTACCAGCCTCATAAGGAAGGTGGATGGTATTTGTTCCTCTTCTGTTACTGAAAAGCTTGTGTAAAATTTTTGTCATTTATTCCTTTAATAGTCGATAGAATTCACTAATGAA